TGTGATTGGCTGACTGCTGCCTGTCTCATGTTTTTTCCACACTATGTCACATCCCCCACAATTACTATAACCCAGCCTTCCATCATGAGGTGCTGTAATGGAATCGGGTGACACCAATGATTATTACAAAACCCTGATTGTTTATTTAAAACACCTTCTGATTTATGTGAGATGTGGGTGGGTGAGTGAGTGAATAGTAATCACAGTTCCTTTCTGGTTTTGTGTGGATTCCAGAGGACAATGTTCTAATTGTTATTCTTTTGCAGAACATTTTGAACATTATTCTCAAAGGCTATATTTAATTGGAATACCTTAATAAGAATATTTATTTTGGAAAGCTGCCAAAACGTAAAGGGGCACTATAGTTACTAGAATCACTACAGCTTAATGTAGTGGTTCTCGTGTCTGTAACTTGTCCCTGTGGGCTTTTCAAAGAAAAGACAGTATTTACTTTACTGCCTAGTAACATCTCTAGTGACAGTAACACTAAATGCTCCTCATAGAGATGCATTAATTTAAAGCATCTTTATGAGGAGATATTGATTGGAGCAGGCGATGGCTTGTCACTCATGCGCTATTTCCTCCCGATGCTTTCCTATGAGAATGCATTGGATTGGCTGAGATCATAAAGAATGAGGATGTCAGCCATGGAGGGCATGACCAGCTCGGCAGTGGAAAAAAGGTAAGTTAAAAATATTTTATCTCCACAAAGAGGGGGATCAGGTAGCTAAACATGTATTTCAGCACTATAATCAATAAATTTTTGTATTCCTGACACTACAGTGTTCCTTTAAGTAAGATAATTTAATTTAAGGATAGTCCCTCTACCTTAGCTAGTATACTGGATAAATGCTTTTTATATATATATATATATATATATATATATATATATATATATACACACATCCATCTATTTCAGAGAGAGTTTGGCTATCTTGAAGTCAATTATATTTATCTGTTTTAATAAATATTTTTCCTTAACAGTGATAACTAATTATACCACCTTCTCACGATAGCATTCTGTTATCATCATATGCTAGCTACTTTTTCAAAATGCCTTGTACTAATAATTTTAACCAATAATTTAGTCTGTTACATTGCTACATAATTATGATGATCAAAAGACAAACAGAGGTATTCACTAAACCATTAATTGTCACTAATTAATTATGCATGTGTGTCTTCCAGTTGGAGTCTGGTCAATGTCTCCCAATACACAGCATATTAGTTTGCCTCTAAGCTATTATTTCCCAATAATTCTTAACATTCATTTCCCTTTTAGTTGTTGAATAAAGTGTTTTCCTCTTATACCCATATTAGTAAATAACTTTTAAGTTAATCATACAGATTGCCCTTCTTCTCAATTAGAGAGCTTCCTAAATTTTTATCCACACTTGGGTGGATTATTTTGTATGTGTGTTAATAATTCAGATCAGGTTAAAGTGACCTTGTGGTTATGGTGCCTGGAGCCCATGATCAGTTCCTGGCATCATATGACAAAGTGGTGGATGTAGATCTATGCTCCACTTCAATCCATACTAGGGGTAGCGAGCAGTGATAGGCTGAGAGTATCAACTGAGCTTTCTCAGCCAACAACTTTCCTAATCATGGGTATTAATTTATGTTGTGTATGGTGGGAGCATAGCTCCACCACCGCTACGTCATCATTGGGAGCCGGGCTGCCAGGGACCAAACATCTCTGCTAAATGAGGATTAAACCACTGAATCTAGGTACCATAACAACTTTAATCAGTTCACATGGTTATGGTGCGTAAAGTGTCCCTTCAAAATCAGATGAGCGGAGACAAGAAAAGTTACATGATTAGCAAAAATCTTAATGGTGGATGGCTGCTTTAATCTGACAGTAAGATGCCTTAGTGCTGTGTGATTGAATAACTAAATCATCACTAAAACAAGTATGACATTCTTATTTTCTTATTGTCACTAAGGGCACGGGTTTACTACTCTAAGCAGATTGGATTCCACACAGATACACATCATGATAATTTTACCAACAAAGGGTTTTATTACTGCATTAAAAGAATATGACAGAAATGATTTTATTACAACCAATTCCATCTAATCATTGCATTCTATTTACAGAGACTTACTCAATTTACTCTCAGAATTTAATTATAGGAGAAAACCAGGAGCTATTCTTTCAGCCATTATTTGGAATAAATCATAGCTAGCAATTGTTATTTGATTACAATAATGGTGTTTAAAACAAGCTTTCCTTATCTGCAAATGCCAGAGGTCATACAGAGAGTACATACAAGTGATGTCAGTATAATTAATGTGTAAAACATAATATGGTCATTTAAAGATGCAGTCTCACGTAGCACAAGAATTGTTTTAATTCAGGCATTTTCCAACTGTTCTTCTGCGAAAGGAGAACCAAAGATGGATGAGTGGAATTTATAGAACTTACATAATCATGTGAAACATGACAACAGAAAAAGAATAACATTCTAAACACTTGTGTGTATATACCTCAACATACACCAAAATCACTCAAAAATTTGAAACAAAAACAAACAATAAAAAAGTGGAGCATGGGCAAAATAACAATAATGTATAACAGTTAAAGCAAAAATGTTGCATGCAAATGTGTATGTAACTAAACAGTGCTTTGCTCTGTGTTTCAGCATTTGCCATGCTAATTGACTGCAGTCTATTCAACATCCTTTTTCCAAGGGCACTTATTAACTTATCAGGAGGGTGTATCCTTGTATTTCACCTTCATTTAAAAGAAAGAATGAAGATTTTGTGTTTTATTATCAAAAATATACCGTTGCCAGTCAATTAAAAATATATTTCCTTCATTCCAAATCAATAACCATCATTTAAAACAAACAGTAATGTCTTAAAGACACACACAGATGGTTTAGAAGAGTATAGATCGGCACATTTCATAAATAACATACTTTTTCAAGAATCTTAAAAAATGATGTTATTTACAAAATGGGTTGATCTGTGCACTTCTACACAATTTATGTGCCAGGATTGGCTAGGTAATCCTCAGCAAAGTGAGACGCGATGACCTAACAAAGGCAAAGACAGAGGGATATTAAGTGTATTACCCACCCTTAAAGTTACACTTAATGTAAAGCATGAACTAGGAAGTAGCAGGACTAAACTAGGAAAAGACTATAGGCTAGGAGAGAAACAACAATAAAACACACAATACCAGACACAGGCAATGCTCAGGAGCATGAGAAGTGCAATGTCAGGAACAAGTCACGGATTGCTACACAGGACAGTAAGTAAGATGAGCCAGGGACTGGTACACGGTTTGGATAGCAAGATAAGCCATGGACTGGAACATGAAATTAGGCAAAAGGCAAACAGGCCGGGTACAAATGGGCAGGAGCACATAACATAGTCAGGTAAGCAAGGTTAAAATAACAGTGAAACAAGATCAGAACAAAATGTCAGCAAAAACATTCAGCTGTTTGCAATAAACAAATCAAACAAAAGCAATTGAAATAGCTCAACACATTGAATGCTTCAAGTGGTTTCCCCAAATTCAGTTTAAAAATGCAACGTATAATGACTTCTCCAATCTTAAAATAATTCAACCTTTCATAGCAAGCATCTTTAGTACTTAGTAGAGCACTCTTTTGCTGTTATGACTAGAGTTGAGCAGACACCTGTATGTTCGGGTCCGGCGGGTTCGAACTTTGAAAAAAAGTCTGGGTTTGGGCTCGAACCTGACCCCGAACTTGACCCCAAACCAGAACCCCATTGAAGTCAATGGGGACCCGAACTTTTGGCCACAAAAATGCCTCTAAAAAACTCCTGGAAAGAGCTAGAGAGCTGCGAAAGCAGGTAAAATGGGGGTAAGAGTAGGATAAGTGCCCTGCAAACAAATGTGGATAGGGAAATCACTTAAAATAACATAAAAATTAAAAATACAGTTGAGCCATAAAAAAGCACTAGATGGAATCTTTGATTTTAGCTTTGGAAGAACATAAATCAAAATCTAAAGCATGGCTGTCAGGAGGATCAACAGAATTATCCATTTGAGAGAGGGTTGGAGTGCAGGGTATTCTCTTTCATTGTTCAAACTGAGCTCAACTCCTGATGCATGGAGAAAAGGCCTTCACAAGCCTCTGCTATTGTGTACATAGTTTATACTAAGTGACCCGTAGGTTGAGGAGGTGGTGACCGTGGTGGTGTAGGTGGAAGCAGCAGTGGAGGAGGAGGATGAGGTAGCCAACACTGTTTTTTATATATATACATATATATATATATATGTAACGGATCACCTGGCACCCCGACTGGGTACCTCTGTTGAAGGATGCTCCTAGCGCTTCCTGAGGACTCCAAGCACTGCAGCAGACACCACAACCACCGAACCGGAGAAGCATATGAATCCTCTCAAGCATATGAATGCTGTTGACAGTTGAATAGGAACCATACGAATAGGTTTACTCTCTTAGCAGTCAAACTGGAACAGCATACAATAAATCCTTCCCCCAATAATGAGACGACACTTCACTTTGAGGGTTAAAACAGGAACTGACTGTAATGGCCACACACTGGTTTTTATGCAAGTCCCCATGCAAGGGGACATCCCACAGGGTGGGACACAGGACAACCAATCGTTACAGGGGAACCGTAAAACACACCCACAATTACATCACAATCCCTCCTCTCTGTCCAGGAGATAATTGTGAAGTAATCAAATTATCTCCCAGGAAAGAGGCAAGACTCCATTAACCACATGGCAGACAAAGGACAATAAAAGACATAAAATTACATACAGTTACATTTATTCCATAAAACATAGACATTCTACATATCCCCAGATAGCTTAGATCTGAGTGCACATTACTACCGAATGGCGCTCAGATCACATACATACAGTTCAATCGCCATGGAGCCAAAGTCTTTCATACAGTCTTTCAGTATACAGCTGGGCTCCATGGCATAGCTATCTGGGGTAGCATGGCTTTAACAGTCCGCAGAAAGGCACGAATAAACCTTTCTGCCGGTAAAATAAAAGTTTAAAATGCAGGACCATAGTCTAAAGGGAGCAGGCGAGCAACCAGGCTTCTCCAGTGTACAGTGGCGAGGTTGGTTTCGCCACAATATATATATATATATATTTTAATTGGGGTAGCCCCCAAAATATTGGGACATATAAAAAAGACAACTCTGTTCCGCAGCGTAGGTGTTGACATTATAGTTGCGCAGGCACTTTGTTGACTCTAGAGAACCTCGGGCCAATCGCACATCCCTGTGGCAGCGACTTTGCATGCGGATGTCATCCAAATCAACTTTCAATGCCAGTTTAACAGGGAATCAGGGTTCCATTCCGTACAGGGATCCTGAGAAACGGCTACCACATGCAAGGAAGGCAGCAGGCGCGCAAATGACCCACTCCAGATGCGGGAAGGTAGTGATGACAAATAACAATACAGGGCTCTTTAGAGGCCCTGTAATTGTAATGAGTCCACTTGAAATCCTTTAACTCTGATCAATTGGAAGGAAGTCTGATGCAGAGCCACTGACCCGTGTGTGCTGCAGCTGAAACTCCACTATCGCCTGCTGCTGCTCACACAGTCTCATGAGGCGGTGAGCGGGAAGGCCGAAGTTACGCTGCAGCGCAGACAGGCGAGAAGCAGCAGGGTGAGAACGCCAAAAGTGCGCACAGCCGCTACAGTGAATATCACATCCTGTTCCCAGTTGAGAATCAGTCTGGTGATGGCTTCTGGTATCCAGTACTCTTTTTACTGAAGCTGCATCAGGGTCCTGGTATGTGGTCGCACAAACGCTGGTACTCAACACCAGGGGGCGTGCGGTTACCCTGCACCAGACCCTGCTAATCCATTCCACACTGTGACTCCTAACTTCAACATCAGACATACTGGGTCCTGGTTGTCCGACCGCCGCCCAGACAGTGTCTGGGTCCTGGTCATCGGACTGCCCACCTAACTGTGAAACTATGAATGGATCGTTAAATCAGGTACGAACCCGAACTTTGCAGTTCGGGTACGCTCAACTCTATTATGGATCCTTTGATCGCTACATGTATTACTTGGATAACTGGCAATTCTCGAGCTAATACATGCCGACGAGCGATAGGGGACGGCCGCTCCGCTTTTGCACCCTGCTTCCTCTTATGCTGTGCTGGTGCCCCTGTGCTGGTGCTCACTCGCATGACCTTGATTCCATCATCCTCCACATCATCTTCCACCCACTCCTCAACCCTGCCCTCCTTGCCGGTATGCACACTGCAGAAATCCACAGCACCTGTGTTTTTACAGCATGTAAAGTCTGCAAAGGACATACGGAAATTGTTTTAGAATTGTATCCAGGCAACAGTTTTCCCTATAAACTGACCTCTCAGTTTGACTTGTGATGGTATTGCCCCAGAATTACAATATTGTTGAAGTACCTGTTAGCTATTGATAACTGGTTTAAATTTAGCAGCTTGTTATCTGGTAGTTTCTAGTGTAGAAAATATCAATCTGTTTTTTATCACTTAGATCTGTATAACAAGTGTTGTAGGTTTGAAACAATATTACAAGACCGATGTAGTAAATTCAAATCAAAGTTACGCTTCGATTTGACTCTCAGATATGAAGTGAACAATCCAAATATACTATTTAGCACCAAAAAAAAAAAAAATTGACTCTTTAAAACTCCAATGTAAGCAGCAGATTAGCAGCAAAACAATTAGAATGTTTACAACTGAGCAGTAAGCGCACTATTTGACGCTTCTATTTGACTCTCAGATATGAAGTGCACCGCAGGCCGCATATGTACTATTTAGCAGATTAGCAGCAAAACAATTAGAATGTTTACAACTGCGCAGTAAGCACACTATTAGACGCTTCTATATGACTCTCAGATATGAAGAGCAGGCCACAAAATGTACTATTTAGCAGGTTAACACCCAGAAAATAAGAATGTTTACCACTGCGCTGTAAGCACACTATTAGACGTTTCGATTTGACTCTCAGATATGAAGTGTATCGCAGGCCCCAAAATGTACTATTTAGCAGATTAGCACCCAGAAAATTAGAATTTTTACAACTGCGCTGTAAACACACTATTAGACACTTCTATTTGACTCGCAGATATGAAGTGCACGCCCCCAAATGTACTAATTAGCAGATTAGCACCCAGAAAATTTGAATTTTTACAACTGCGCTGTAAGCACACTATTAGACGCTTCGATTTGACTCTCAGATATGAAGTGCACCCCACTAAAATACTATTTAGCAGTTTAGCACCCAAATAATTTTAAGTTTTAAAACTGCAATGTGACAGCAATATTTGACGCTTCTGTTTGACTCTCAGATATGAAGTAAACCCCACCCCACTAATGTACTAGTTTGCAGAATTATTTCCTAAGCTGTCCCTATCAGCGACAGCATCCTCTCCCTACACTAATATGTGCGTGCGGCGCTATGCGACTCCAGCTTATATATGGAGGCTGGGTCACTTGCTGCACTGGCCAATCACAGCCATGCCATTAGTAGGCATGGCTGTGATGGCTTCTAAGGGCACACAAGTCAAACGCTTGTTGATTGGCTGCCCTGCAGCCTTTGAAAAGGCGCCATTAAATTGACGAACACCGAACTCCAACCCGAACATACAGTGATATGTCCGTGTTCAGATCCGGGGTCCAAAAAAACCTAATGTTCGGTACGAAACCGAACTTTACAGTCCGGGTTCACTCAACTCTAGTTATGACCTGTTGCAAATTAAATGTATAGCCAGACACCAGTTTCCTGAGGAATCCTAGCCCATGAGCAATGGACTTCAGTTCAATAATATGCTCACGTCCCTATTGAAGGTGCTTTTGGCAATGGACAGGAGTCATTATAGGCACTCTGGCTTGTCTGTACCTCTTCAGCTCCACAGACAGCAAACTGTGATGCACTGTGTGTTCTGATTCCTTTTTTTATAATAACCAGCATTGTGTTTTTAAGCAATTTGAGCTATATTAGCTCTTCTGTGTGATTGGACCAGATAGACTAGCCTTCGCTCCCAACGTGCTTCAGTGAGGCCTCCAGTTCAGAAATATTCTTGGGTTTGTGTGCTGAAACCACCTTCTTCAAATCCCACCAGAGATTTTCTATGGGGTTCAAGTCAGGTGACTGTCAGGTGACTAACCACTATAGAAATTTCTTCTGCAACCAAGCCTTGATGGAATTTGAGGTATGTTTGGGATCATTGTCTTGTTGGTAGGTCCAATGACACCCAAGCTTCAGCTTTGTCACAGATGTTTTCTCCTAGGATTTCCTGATACTTCAATTAATCCATCTTGGCTTCCACATGTGGCAGGTTTCCAGTGCCAGAAGATGCAAAGCAGCTCCAGAGCATCACCAAGTCACAACCATACTTAAATGGAGGCAGAGTGTTCTTTTCAGTGTATGCTTCATTCTTCTTCCTCTAGGCATACTGCTAATCCATTGGGCCAAAAAGTTCTAGTTTTGTTTCATCGCTACACAGAACAGAATCCCCAAACTTCTGTGGCTTATTTATAAGAGTTTCAGCATATTGGAATTCAGACATGTGCAATTCGTTTCGGGCCGAATATGAATTTGGACGAATTTCGGGCAATTCGGACATTCGAGTACTTCCGAATGTCCGAATAGCTGAAGTGCCGAATTGCAGAATTACCGAGGTCCCGAAGTTCCGAAATTACTGAATTTCCGAAGTGGCGAAGTGCCGAAGTGCTGAAGTGCCGAAGTTGCCTAAGTTCTGAAGTGCCGAATTGCCGAAGTTCCGAAACACAGTATTGCCTAAGTACTAATATACTTACACAGTGGAAGAAGAAGAATGTTACACTGTATACAATTTTAAATAAAAAGTATACAAACATAGCCAGGATTCAGCAGTAAGCATTTGCAACAATCAAGTAACATACATTCATATAAAATCTAAGCCATAAGCCAGTCAATGTAATGACAGGAATGAATAAGTAGATAAATCCCTAATTCCTACGGTATTAGGGAGCTATCTACTAAAAGGCTGAAAGACCTAAATTGGTCTTTCAGCCAAATTTAGTAAAGATTACTTAGTATTTGTAAATTATGCCCCTACTCACTATACCGCGAGTAGGTGCATGTCTATTAAACAGCCTATGGCTGCTCACTGTAAAAAAGAAAAAAAAAAGGCCCTATCCCCCTCCTAACCTGAAGGGGGGACCTATTGCCCCCCCGGCCCCCACCCCTGAACTGCGGGTGGGGGCCCTAAAATACTAATTAGGGGGGGACCTAATGTCCTCCCACCTGACCCCCAACCCTAAGCAGTGGGTGGGGGCCCTAAATACTAATTAGGGGGGGGCCTGCCCCCCACCCCTGAGCAGTGGGTGGGGGCCCTAAATTAGAATGAGGAGGGAGGACCTAATGTCCTCCCCCCTGGCCCCCACCCCTGAGCGGTGGGTGGGGGCCCTAAAATACTAATTGGGGGGGGGACCTAATGTCCTCCCACCTGGCTCCCAACCCTGAGCGGTGGGTGGGGGCCCTAAATAAAAAAAATTACCTCCCCCGGGTGACTAGGGGTCCCCAAACTCCTAGTCACCCCCGCCCCCAAAAAATTAACCCCTACCTACCCCCCTCACCCTAAAAATAATGAGGGGGTGCCATTTAACTAAGTACCTGAAAAAAAAAAAAAAACTTACCATTTGATGTTTTCTTTCTTCTAAAATCAGCCCCAAAAAAGGCCAAATGCTGTGTAATTTGACTCATAACACTCTGACTGGTGGATTAAGTAACCAATCAGAGTGTTATGAGTCATATTACACAGCGTGGGAAAATTCCAAAGAACTTTCCCACGCTGTGTAAAATGACACAGAGCACTCTGATTGGTGGATTTCAAACCAACCAATCAGAGTGCTGTGACAGGTAAATGTAGAGACTTTCCTGTCAGTCTCTTCATTTACCTGTCAGAGCACTCTGATTGGATGGCTTAAACCCACCAATCAGAGTGCTCTGAGCCTAATTGCAGGGCGGGGCAAGGCTTTATCAGCCTTGCCCCACCCTGCAGAGCTTAGTCTGCGCGGAACCCTCGCCGGGTGAAGATGGATTTTCTTATTTTTTGCGCTCATTTTTTTTTTTAAGTTCGTCGGTTATTATGGCTTTTTATTTGGCCTTTTTGGGGGCTGACAAAAGAAGATTTTAGAAGAAAGAAAACATCAAATGGTAAGTTTAGTTTTTTTCAGGTACTTAGTCATTATTTTTAGGGTAAGGGGGTAAGAAGGGGTTAATTTTTGGGGGGAGGGGGTGACTAGGGGTTTGGGGACCCCTAGTCACCCGGGGGGTTATTTTTTATTATTTTTTTAAATTTAGGGCCCCCACCAACCGCTCAGGGGTGGGGGCCGGGGGGAGGACATTAGGTCCCCCCCCTAATTAGTATTTAGGACCCCCACCCACCGCTCAAGGGGGAGGACATTAGGGAGGACATTAGGTCCCCCCCTAATTAGTATTTAGGGCCCCCACCCACCGCTTAGGGGTGGGGGCCAGGGAGGAGGACATTAGGTCCCCCCTCATTCTAATTTAGGGCACCCACCCACTGCTCAGGGTGG